TCATTATTTTATAAAAGACTGAGCCTCTTTTCTATTGTTATAACAACGATAACAACAAAAAACCCCACAAGGAGAATCTTTCTTGCTGGCTTAGGTAGACCATTTCCCAGCGTACCATTCTTGGTTTCAGTCAAGCCATTCCTCCCCATGACCCCAGAATTCAGCACCTACCTCTCCACCATTACATCATGTTCTCATTCACCAGGGACTATTTCTTCCTCTCCTGTCCCCCTTTGCCCCTCAGAACAGCTTCTTTCCCCATTTATTCTCCTTCCAGAGAGTCTTCAGAAATCTCATCAGATCCTATCTTTTATGTAGACCTTTATAGACCCTCAGATGATCTTAAAACTCAATTGGGGGTAGGGCAGGAACGATGACTTGTTATTTAAAAGCACGTGCTTTTCTTGCAGAGGACCAGGGTTCGGTTCCCAGCACCCACATGGCACTCATACCATCTGTAACTCATTTCCGGGCATCCAATACCATTTAGAGCACCAACTATGCACATGGTACATATGTATATATGCAAACAATACCCATAAACATAAAATAAAACTTAAAGAGGCAAACCATTTTGCTTTGGCAGTGTTCTATATCACCCACATGAACAGGTGATTTATCTAATTAACTATCTCAAACCAGGCCATCAGGTATCAGGGATGCAGCTCTACTCCCCAACCCTACCACAATGATGCTATGTGTTGAATCATGGGACATCTTACCATTTAAAATATACAGTTAGAAAGGAAATCAACCATCACATTACAGCTGGTAGAGGCCCCAATTTCCTGCCAACTGCACATTTTTTTTAAAGTAAATAAATTATTATTTTTCCTTTTTTTTTTTTTTGAGACAGGGTCTCTCTGCAACTTTGGAGCCTGTCCCGGAAGTAGCTCTTGTAGACCAGGCTGACCTCGAACTCAGAGATTCACCTGCCTCTGCCTCCCGAGTGCTGGGATCAAAGGCATGTACAACCACTGCCTGGCTAATAAATTATATTTTTTAAGAAAATAAAAAGCTAGATGTTTTTGTATGCCTTTGATCCCAGAACTTGGGAAGTAAAGGCAGGTAAGTCTCCTAAGCTTGAGGTCTTTATAGCCTGCCAGGGTTACAAAGTGAGACACTGTCTCAACAACCACAACCTAAAACTTTGTTTTTCCCAAACAACCAAATCCATTTTTAAAAACTAAAGAATAGAGAAGCATTATATTTCTTCCAGAGGTTCACCTAGCACACACAAGGCTTGAGTCAGTGCCCAGAAGAAAGGGTGGAGCATAATGAAACAAACACCAGCATTTTTTTCCTGCTAAAATATACTGGTGATTATGGGTGTTTCTTTGTAGTCCCCTGTTGTATATCAACACAGGCATAAGCCTTATTTGGGCCAGCTTTCCTGACGGGTTGAAGATCATCCAGGCACTTAGCTCTGAACATTATGGGCAAAATACTAGCAATCAGTGTTGCTTTTCAACCATGTTCTCTTTTCTCATTTTGATTTCCCAACCTAAGGAAATAATGTGATGGCAAATGGCACTTGCCTCTTAAAAAGTAGCCATACTAGCTAGTCTGGTAAACACGCTGGTTTTTTTTGTTTGTTTGTTTTTTTGTTTTAGAAAGAAAAGAAAAACCCTAACAAATGAAGTCCTAAAACTAAATTGCACAAAAGAAGGGGAGAAAAAAATAAAAGAGCTTTTTGTGAGAAGAGATGTCCATGAAAAAAGCCAAATAAAAAAGCACAGCCCTTTTTAAAAGTGTATTCATCATTAGCACAGCAGGAGCTGGCTTCTGTCTAGCTGTTGATGCCCCAAGGCAGTGCCCAAATGCCTGGAAGACAATTTTTGTCAGCAGGTTCAATGTGGCAGAGTTCAAAGGTCCTGTTAGTGGAGGCTGCTGCTGCTGCTGCTGGCCTGGGAGCTGCCCATACCTGGGTGATCTGGACTATGTCGGTTCTTCTTCTTCTTCTTTTCTTTCTTTTTCCTTTTCCGTTCAGGATCCTCTTCTTTTTTCTTTTTCTTCTTTTTGTGATCTGAATCAGATGGCGTTTCTGGGGGGACAGGATCCTGGGTACGGCTCTGTTTATGCTTATGCTTGTTCTTCTTCTTGGGAGGCTGGATGTGCATCAGACGACACCGCTCTGGCAACGGGCCAGTATGGAGGCGGAAGCCAGACAGCATGGTCCCTGTGATTGGATTAAAGGAGCTACTAAGAATAGGAGGCTTCTCGATGAGGGAGCGGAGGCTGCTGTTCTCATGGGAGCCAGGGAGGTCGATCATCCCTGGCAGGTCAGGCAGGAAGTTACTTAGCTTCTCCTTCACCTTCTTCCCACAGAACTTATTATAGGCCTGTTCCAGGTTGTAATGTGTGATTAACTTGGTGCTGCCCGTCAGCTCTGTGCTGCCCGGCAACTCCCGCATCAGGTAGAAGGGGCCGCTCCCAGCAGCCGACTTGTCTGCGCCCGCGGGGGCCGAGCTCGCGGGGCCGCGCCAGGACCCCCTCCCGGAGGAGGCGGAGGTGGCGGGGGCGGCTTCCCGGGCCCGAAGCCCAGGGCGCTCGGGGGCGGTGGGGGGTCGGCTTGAGCTCCGAACAGCGCCGTGAAGTTCTCCATGGCACCCTCAGCTATCGGGTTACCCGGGATCCGGCGTTAGCGACGTTCATTGGACAGCGCTCTCGCAGGGTCCCACCCTCGTCCTCTAAGGACTTCCCGTCATTGGATACATTAGGCCCCGCCTATCGACTTCCGGTGACCACTTCCGTCGCTCTAAGACAGGGTTCGGGAGGTGGGTCTCAGTCCTATAGCCAATAAAATGACTCAGGTGGAAAAGCGACAACCCTACAGACCAATAGACTACCTAACTCATTTTCTGGTTTATCGCTGCGCCCAATAAGATATCTACATCCGGGTTCGTAGGCGTTGCCTCTGCTCCACGGCCCAATAGAAGCCTCGCTATCGGGGGGCGGCGGAGGGACTAGCCGGGGGCGGGACGGAGCCGGCGAGGGACCAGGCCGGGAAGATGGCTGTCCTCGCGCCTCTCATCGCCTTGGTGTACTCGGTGCCGCGGCTTTCTCGATGGCTTGCCCGGCCCTATTGCCTACTGTCCGCATTGCTGTCCGCCGCGTTCCTCCTCGTGAGGAAACTGCCGCCGATCTGCAGCGGTCTCCCCACGCAGCGCGAGGATGGCAACCCGTGTGACTTTGACTGGGTGAGCGCCCCCTGCCTCGGTAGCTCCGGAAGCTCCCGACCTTGACCATCCCCGCCCCGGCGGGTGCACGGGAAAGTGTGGGGGCAGATTTCGGGACGTGACCGTCTCATGGACGGAGTGGAGAGCCGAGGCCGTTACGAGTCTTAACCTCCTGGCTTAAGGTGGAAAAACAGAACCCAGGGTTTCCTCCACATATGAACGGTGGTCTTCAGGGATGCCAAGCTTCCTGGGGCGCCGGAGAGGAAGACAGATCAGTAGCAGAAATACCATTCTTCTATCTATCTGTCTATCATCTATCTATCTGTCATCTATCTGTCTGTCTGTCTGTCTGTCTGTCTACCTATCTATTATCTATCTATCGTCTGTCTGTCTCTGTCTATCTATCTGTCTGTCTGTCTAGCTATCCATTTATATCTGTCTATTTGGCAAATTGATCCCAGTGTAGTTAGGCAACTTTCCCAAGGTCACTCAGCACCCAGAAAGTGCTGTCTTACCTTGTTCAATTCTGATAGGCCAGCCGACTTAGGTCGCTAACTCAAAATGACTTAGGTGGAAAAGCAACCGCACGACTGCCCAGGCCACTGTAACTGCACACCCTATCATCTTCAGGGGGATAGAGAAACAGGGAAGGCTACAGAAACACGAGGCGGTGGGGGGGGGGAGCAATAATTTCAGAACAATTAACATTGCTGTGAAGGTTGTGGACATAGAGCTAATATTCCTTTCCTGTACAAATATTTATGTTAGAATGGCAATGGCCCAGATTCATCGCCTGAAAGTATTACTATAACCTTTGTTAGGCTGCGTTTCTTTCTCCAGACACTTCTGGGACTCTCAAACAAGATTATTAACTTTGTTTACACTAAAGATACCATACTTTTGCCAGACTTTGTGTTGTACCCCATTTGTCCTAGCACTCTGGAGACAGAGGCGGATGGATCTCTGTGAGATTGATGTAGGCTCTTCTGGTCTGTATCACTCATTCCAGGTCAGTCAAGACTACATAGTGAGACCCTGTCTCAAAATGACACCACACCAGATACCCTACTTTCCTCCATCCCTGTGCTCTAGAGTCATACCTTATAAGTTGTAACACTGCCAGGTGGCTCTTAAGAATCACCTTATGAAACTGGGTGATGGTGGCGCATGCCTTTAATCCTGGCACTCAGGGAGCAGAGACAGGTGGACCTCTATAAGTTCAAGGACAACATGGTTTACAGAGCTCCAGGACAGACTCTAAAGCTACAGCAAAATCCTGTCTCAGAAAACAAAACAAAACAAAAAAACACAAGTAAACAAAAAAGAAGACCTTAACTCTTGGGGCTTGATAGATGGCTGAGTGGTTTAGGGCACTAGCTACTCTTGTAGAGGGCTTGGGTGAGGTTCCTCACACCGACATGTTGGGTCACAGCTATCCGTAATCCAGTTCCAGCACTCAAATCTGGTCTGTGAGTACTAGACACACAGTGCACTTATATATGTTCAGGTAAACCACTAATTCACATGAAATAAAGATAATTCTTTAAAAACGAACATATCCACATCAAACTCTCCGTATTGGCCATCTGTGAAACTTTCTTAATGAACTATGAGTCCCAGTTTGGCGTGAGTGGGCTCCTGAAAGCTTCAAGGAGCCAGGCTATGTCAGCAAAAGTAGACCTGTGCCTGTAGTCCTTACTGGCCTGGAACTTGTTCTGTCGACTAAGTCAGGTTTGGGCTTTTGGCATTTCTCCTGCCTCTACCCTCCAGAATGCTGGGTTCACATGTGTGCAGTACTACTTGTGGGCTCACTTTGTGTGTCCTGAAGGTGCAAAACAATAAAAATTTGAGACTCACTGAAAAGAAATTGTAATAAAAATAGTAATTGTAGAAAGTGCAGCATGGTAGTGCACATCTGTAATGTCAGCATCTGGAAGGTGGAGGCACAGAGATCACAAGTTTAAAGTAGACCAACGTAGGGGGCTGGGCGCCCCCCGACCTACAAAACGTTCTCGAAAACAAAACAAAATTAAAAACATATAGCCTAAAGTATATAGCATGATTCTTTCTCAAAACCAAATGATGAAAAGGAATCCAGCCCTTGAGAGCCTGAGGTGGGAGGAGCATAGTGAGTTTGAAACTTCCCTGGACGACACAGTGAGACAGAAGGAAAGAAGGGAAAGAAGTGAGTCTGGCAGGTTATCTAACTTCCACGCGTGTACTGTGGCACGGGTATGCACACACACAAAGAAAATCAGTGGGACATGATGATGTACCCCAATAATCCTGGTGCTTTAGAGGCTGAGGCAGAATTGCCTGGGCTGGGCAAGATAATGAAAGCAAGTCTCAAGGACGGAAAGAGGGAGGGAGGGAAAAGGAAAAAGAGAAAACCCCAAGGTTAGGGATTGGCTCAAAGACACATGCAGTTGCCAAGGGTAGACTCTGAACCTGACTTTTTTGACTTGTTGGTCCCACTACCACCTCAGCCAGCTCCAGTTATCTCTTTATTACCAGCCCAAACTGGATTTCTTGTTTTGTATTTTGCATTCTGCCCTCTGTCCTAGCAGCCTCATTCACCACGTGACTGTCACTGATTGTCTTCCAGAGAGAAGTGGAGATTCTGATGTTCCTCAGTGCCATCGTGATGATGAAGAACCGCAGATCCAGTAAGCCGACCTGCTTTGCACTGCTGGGGGTCAGGACTCAGGCCCTGCAGAAGCTCCCTTTTCGTGGTAGAGGAGAGGAGTGTTACTTAATGAACTAGTTCCACATTCCTTGCCAGGGGCTAGTTTGACCTTGGACTTCTGTATCCTCTCACCCCGTTCCCACTTCTAAGTACCCCAGGAAGAGGGACAAAGAGTGGGAGCCTTGAGCCCAGCCTGACTCTGGTATCTCTCTGTTCCAGTCACCGTGGAGCAGCATGTAGGTAACATCTTCATGTTTAGTAAAGTGGCCAACGCTATTCTTTTCTTCCGCCTGGATATTCGAATGGGTCTACTGTATCTCACACTCTGCATAGGTGAGAAACTGCATTTATTACGTTAAGGTTCTATAATAAATAATTTGGAATAGTAAAGATCTTTGATAAAGTCTTGATTTTGAGAACCAGGTTCTAATCCTTATTTTACTTGTAGATTTTAATTATATGTAGGCAGTAATTATTTACTTGGACAGTACTTTAAGAGGAATATATGCTGGTGATCTATGCAGACGTGTATTCTTTGGTGTCTGAAATACCTAAGTGGGTTTGCAAATCTGTAAAAGACCCCGCATGTTATCTCTAACATGTGTGTTAGTTATCTCTCCGTATGCTATCTCTGACATACATGTTAACTCTGTGTTCAGTGTTCCTGATGACTTGCAAGCCCCCCCTGTACATGGGTCCTGAGTACATCAAGTACTTCAGCGATAAAACCATCGAAGTGAGTATTCTGCTGGTGCGGGATAATTATCTGTATTCTGTCAATCATGTATTTTAATAAAACGCTGATTGGCCAGGCAGGAAGTATAGGCGGGTCAACCAGACAGGAAATAGAGGCGGAGTAATGAGAATAGGATAAGGCTAGGGAGGAGAAAGGTTCCTCAGCCATTCCTGTGCAGACCACCGAAGAGACAGCATGTAACCTACCCAGCTGAAAAAGGTATGGAGCCATTATGGCTAACATAGATGAGAATAATGGGTTAATATAAGTTATAAGAGTTAACAAGAAGCCTGACCTAATGAGCCAATCAGTTTATAACCTGATATAGACTCCGTGTGATTTTCCTTGGGACTTGCTGGCTTGTTGGGGTACTGGGCGGGACAGAAACCCCAACAAGCTGGCCCTCATGTTACATTCTGCTTCTGTTGCTTGACTCCTGCTGTGTGGTGCTGTGCTCGCTATTCAGAAAGATGTTGCCTGAGGACGGCAGTCAGTACCTGGGCTTGGTGGTGCGCATCTGATATGGTGGTAGCTGAGAGGCTGGGGCAGAACTGCCACAGGAACTTTTTCCTGCTTGTTTATTTGCTCGTTTTTGTTTTCAAGACAAGATTTCTCTGTATAGCCTTGACTGTCCTGGAACTCACTCCATAGAGCAGACTGGTCTCTAATGAAGAGATCCTCCTTGCTTTGTCTCCCAGATGCTGGGATTAAAGGTGTATGCCCCCATCACCCAGTGGATTGCTGCAAGTTTCAGGCCAGTATAGGCTCCTAGTGAGTGCCAGGGCAGCCCCAGCTACACAGTAAGATTCTGCCTCAAAGGAAAGGCTGGTAGGCAGGTGAGTTAGCTCATCAGGTGACAGTGTTTGCCACATAAGCCTGACAACCTGAAATGGGTCCCTGGAACCCATTCCCCAGAGTTGACCTCTATAGATGATAGATAGGTAGATAGATAGATGATAGCTAGCTAGCTAGCTGATAGATAGGTAGATAGATAGATGATAGATAGGTAGATAGATAATAGATAGATGACAGATAGATGATAGATAGCTGATAAATAGGTAGATAGATGATAGATAGGTAGATAGATGATAGGTAGAGATAGATAGATAGGTAGATAGGTAGATAGATAATAGATAGATAAACTTTTTTTTTAAGATTTATTTATTTATTTATTTTGTTTGCAGTGTTCTATCTGCATGTGTGCCTGCAGGCCAGAAGAGGGCACCAGATCTCACTATAGATGACTGTGAGCCATCATGTGGTTGCTGGGAATTGAACTCAGGATCTCTGGAAGAACAATCAGCGCTCTTAACCTCTGAGCCATCTCTCCAGCCCCGATAGATAAACTTTTAAAAGAAAAAGTTCAGTGGGTAAAAAGAAGGTCCTTGCTGCCAGACCTCTGTCTTCAGTCTGGAAAGAGAAAACTGTTAAGTGGGCAGTGGCCTATGTGCTTATACCCACATAGTAAATGTAATTAAAAAATTTTTAGGTTATTAAAAAAATTGGCCATTTCGCTTATGGTAGAGTGTGTGCCTCATATGTATGAGGCACTGGATTCAGTCTTTGGTACCAACAAACAAACCTGGAAAGGTTGTCAGGGTACTGGTTCGTTATGGGGAAGGGGAAGCCCAGGTTAAGGCGTTAGCACAGGTCTGAACTCTCTCATGCCCAGCTGTCTCAGCCTCGTCTCTCTTCCCTCTGTGTGGTAGGAGGAGCTGGAGCGGGACAAGAGGGTCACTTGGATCGTGGAGTTCTTCGCCAATTGGTCTAATGATTGTCAGTCATTTGCTCCCATCTACGCTGACCTCTCTCTCAAGTGAGTATGCAGAGTGAAGCGCTGTGCCCTCCTTCCTTTGGTCTAATTTCTCCCTTTCTTACCTAGTTATCTGTATTTCCAGTTTCCTTGATCCATCCCTGTATTTTTCAGCATGTTAAATAGTGTATGTTTTTGCAGGTACAGCTGTCCAGGGCTCAATTTTGGGAAGGTAGATGTTGGACGCTATACTGACGTTAGCACACGGTATGTGGAAGCCTGGGCAGAGGGCGGAGCTGAGACTTCCTTGGAGTGATGTAAGTGATGTGCAAAGTCCTCTCTGGCCTTGTAGGTACAAAGTGAGCACGTCACCCCTCACCAAACAACTCCCTACCCTGATCCTGTTCCAAGGTGGCAAGGAGGTCATGCGGCGGCCGCAGATTGACAAGAAAGGACGAGCTGTCTCATGGACCTTTTCTGAGGTACGTGGACCATGGGCAGTGGCTGGAGAGGGATGTACAGCAGTGAATGGGCTCTATAGTTAGTCTGGGTTCAGTCCTGAATTCTGCCACTTGCCACTGTTTTTGAGGGTGTCGTTCAGTTACTGGATGTCATCTAGTAAATCGCTCAGCAGGCTTGTTAATTTGCTTGCTGCTAATACTGAGGAAAACCATAAATAAAGACGTGCTCTGTGAGGTGCCTGTGGCTCGTAGGCAATTAGGTCCTCATCAGTACACTGGAGGCAGTAACACCTGGCTCATGGGATTGCTTCACAGTTGCATGTGTATACAGACAATATTAACACAAAAATTGATGATAGACACATAAATGCCAAAGAAAAGTTAGGGCAGATTTCTGCCCTCTGGTTTCACTGGTTTCTAGACTGTGCTTAGTTAAATACTTCTTACTCCCCAGCTCTGAACTTTACCTTCCCACCTAGTATCTGATGTTTTCATCACTTTTGCATAGGAGAATGTGATTCGAGAATTCAATCTGAACGAGCTCTACCAACGAGCCAAGAAGCTGTCAAAGGGTGGAGACAGTGTGTCTGAAGAGAAGCCTGTGGCCCCTGCTCCCGCTGCTGTGCCAGATGGGGAAAACAAGAAGGACAAATAGGACCCTGCATTGTTCTTGCTGCCTCTGGATTTCCGGCACCTTTGAGGCCCAATTCCAGCTGTAACCACAATCCTTGCCTGAGGCTGTGGCCGTTTGTTTTCTCCTGTTTGGCTGTGCCTGGGTTGGGGCAGGGTGCCTGCTTCTGGTTTTTAAAGAAGCTTCTAGGGAACCATGAAGCAATGAAGGGCTGTTCTACCCTGGCCAAAGGTTTCTGGAAGGGAGACATGATCTCATAGAGGTAGAAAAGGTTTCCCTCCCAGGTTGGATCAGTGTGTAAACTGCTTTTCAGTGCTTGGAATCACCAGACTGTGGTTTCATTATTCCTCCTAGTGAGCCTGCAAAGCATTGACTAAATTAAACTCTAATATTAGATGTCAGAGTATGAAGCACTAAGAATTCTTCCTCAAGGAGCCGTTCTTCCTTTAGGTCTTTCTGGTTTGATCTGTGTCATTCATAAAACAGTTAAGCGTAAGGGATTGGTGAGATGGCCCAGTGGTTAAGGGCACTGGCTCTTCCAGAGGATTCCTAGCTGCCGCATGGGGGCCTGGACTGTCCGCATCTGTAGTCCAGGGACTCCAACATCACCTCCTGGCCTTGACTGGCCCTGTATGCTTGTGGTGCACGATCACCCATGAAGGCAGAACACCAAAAAGGGGTGTAATTTAATCTTTAAGTGTTGCTCATCCCGATGAAAAACCTTCACCCAGAACTTCCATCATTGGAAATAGAATTGAATGATCCGCCTGTATTGGGAACCGAAAAGAAGGGCAGTGTAAGTTTGAGAGTTTCTTTTGCGTGGTGGGACCAGAAGAAAGCGCCAAGGCTGGACAGCTGTTTTCTCCTACTGTCCACACAGCTTTCCCTAATAAAGGGATTGTTATTTTGATTGGTGTTTCTCCTTTATTAGAGTGGGCAGCTGCAAAGGGACTGCTCCTATTTTTGTTGTTTCTGTTTTTTGAATCTAAGATTGAACATTGAACTCAGGGACTCTAAGCCAAACACACCTCTAGACCTCTAGAGCCTAATTAACTTTTTTTTTTTTTTTAAGTTTGTGGGTGAAGGTCTTGATCTATTGGAGGGATTAACCTGGGAATCACCATCCCCTTGATTCACCTAAATACCTGAGAAGTTACCTGAGACTAAAGGCGTCAGCTACTGCGCCTGGGTTATAAATGGGCTGGGGTTCAAAGTCCACTTAGCATAAAAGGCCATACCCTTTGATTTCACCACGTGAGGATATGGATCTCCAAGTTCGGTGCAAGTTAGCAAGTTTCTATAGTCTGTACAAACGGCACGGAAATGCGGTGTAAACTTCACGTGGAATTGGTTCACAGATTCCAGGGTGGACGGTTTAGGTACAGAGAGTCCCTACCCGGAAACGGCGCCAAGCCTGTGTAGTGGTGGTTTTTGTTGTTGTTTTGTCTTTGCTTTTTGTTTTCTCCCGAGTCCCTCAGGCAGGTCCCTTATGCAGCACAGGGTGGTTTGATCCGGACCTCTGCACCGCCCCCACCCCCTTCTGATAGGCAGCGTGGTCGTGCTTGAAGGTCCCGCCTTCAGGTCACGTGGGTGCCTTTACCCGCGCTTCCTTACCCGAGAGGTTTGTACTTGGAAGCTGCGATTTTGGGCTGCAGGTTTGTCATTTGGGTTTGCGTCGCCACCCTATCCTACCAGCGCCCCAGCCCCACATTGCATCTGCCGCCGAAGGACCCCACCATGGCCCCTAACGGAAGAAAGCGGAAGGCCGCGCCGGCAGAAACTGTGGACAAGCGAGAAAAACTGGCGGAGGGCCCGGCGGTGGTCATTGAGCACTGGTGAGGGACCGGGGAGTCGGGGGGGGAGGGGGCGGGTGGGGAAGCGTATACTCGGGGCCGCTGGGACCACAGGCCCCGTCTGCAATCCCTGTGTCCGCAGCACGAGCTGACGCGTCTACGGGCGCCACGCTGCCGCCCTGAGCCAGGCTCTGCAGCTGGAGGCCCCAGAGCTGCCTGTGCAGGTGAACCCCTCCAAGCCGCGGAGGGGCAGCTTCGAGGTGACGCTGCTGCGCCCGGACAACAGCCGTGAGTGGAGACCGCGGTGGGGTTAGGGGCGGGAAACGAAACCCGAGCACCTGATGACGGAGGGGATGGGATAGTAGTGGGTGCCATCATGATTTAGCTTTATCCGATCCTTCCCAGGTGCTGAACTCTGGACTGGTATAAAGAAGGGCCCGCCACGAAAGCTCAAATTTCCCGAGCCTCAAGAGGTGGTTAAAGAATTGAAGAAGTACCTTTCCTAAGGACGTTGGGCAGGGAGCCCCATGCTGAGGTTTGCATCATGACTCAGGGACGCACATTGGGGTAGACTGTGAAAGTCTTAACCTTACAGCTATCTCACAGGATAGTCACCCATCTTTGGTGACTATTTTAATTCCATGACTTTTGCAAATGTTACTGCTTCGACAGTGTGACATGTTTCTGTAGTGAAGGTCCCTCCAGAATCTTTGCTGTTACTTAGCTTTACCTGCACTTTTCTGGTTTTCGTAGTAGTATGTGTGGTAAGATAGCATCATAATCCCCCCGCAACTCCCTTATTAGCTACATGGACTTATTTTGTCCCTCGTGCTTCATACAGTGCTTTGGCATGTTTTCTGCACTTGCATGTTGAGTGCGCTCTGGATTTTGGGTTTTTGTGTGACTAACCATTGCTGGGACTGTGCATGTCTCTCTTGGTCCTTGTGATTCCTGGATCCTACTCATGTTCCCTTATTTATTTGCAGCTTTCATTCCCTGGAGATGTTGAAGCATTTATGATAGTGCATGGCCAAACTTAAGCTATGTACCTGAAGCCATAGTTTCTTCCTCACCAGAAATGATGGTTCCGTTGTGAGGCAGCCCTTGTAAAAGATATTTGGATTGGTTTAATAAAAGTTAAAGTGTCTGCGAGCATGGGTCAAATTTAGTCTTAAAGGATGGACACAACTAGTTTCGTGGGTTGTTGGTCTTTGTAGTTTTCCTAATGCAAAGTAACTTCTGTGTGGAAATTGTAGGGTCTATAGTAAAACATGTGAAACGCTTATTAAAAAAAAACATGGATGTTGCTGTGTTTGGTGTTGTATGCCTGCAATCTCAGCACCTGGGAGACTGACAGGAAGACTAGAAATTCATGGCCAACCTGGCCTACAAGACCATATTGTTTTTTGTAAAACAAAACAAAACTATAAAAATTTATTTATTTATTATGTATACAGTGTTGTCTGCATATATGCCTGCAGGCCGGAAGAGGGCACCAGATCTCATTACATGGTTGTGAGCCACCATGTAGTTGCCAGAAATTGAACTCAGGACTTCTGGAAGAGCAGACAGTGTTCTTAACCATTGAGCCATCTCTGCATCCCCCAAAGTAAAGTTTTTAAAGTAACTAATTACTTTTAATCTACTTCTTGGTTATGGAGAGAACATCTAGGCCCATCGAGGCTTTTGCTAGGCTTGTCATACTGGCAGTGAGTAAGCAAGCCCCATGGCTGGGCTTCATGGCAGACCTGTGACACCAGCCACAGTGGCTGAGGCAGTTCAGTGCCAGCCTGGGCATTTGAGATCCCACTCATTCTGGTGCTCTATGTAACATAGCTTCATTCTTTCGCATTCTTTAAATAGAACCCAAACAGTGTCCCTGAATTCAGTGACTGTCAGATCTCTTGAACTGTGAAAGGTCTAGTCTTAACTATTCCTATATCTTAACTAGCGTTGGGGACCACAATTATTTTGTCACTGAAAAACGGATTACAAAGAAATAGCTCAGGTTCTTAATTTTCTGTCCATGGTATTGCTATTTATTTAACTTCTGCCTGGAGCACAAACCTGGGAAAGGGAGATCAGTGCTGAGAGAAGGGGACATGTGCTTGCTTTTCTCCCAAGAAAGCCTTCTGCTGATCAACAGTTGTCACCCTCCTAGGAGCTCTGCCCTGCCCTGCCTGTCCACTACGTTAGTATATCAATCTCTGTTTCTGACTCTGAGGAAGGGTCAGGCCAGACAGAGGGAACACCAGGCCCCAGCCTTTCCTCCTCTGTCCAGTTTACCACGTCAATCTCTTCATCTTCTGAACTGCCAGGACATGGGTCCCGCAGTTCAGGGTTAGCAGACACTTCCCTGACTGCCTTGGGTGCAGGATACAATACTTCATCCATGCCTAGGGACAGTTCCAGCCCTGTCTCTGCCCAGTTTGAGCATGGAAGTGAGAGATCCCTGTAAGATCTTTGGGAAGAGTCAGGGGAGTCAAGATGGAGAAGTTTTTCTCCCTGACCATCCAGTGGCTGGGAGCTGGTAATATCAAGGTCTGGAGTCCAAGAGCTTTTCAGTGCAAGTGCCTCTCTGTTCACCTCAGAGGGCATGACAAGGGGGCTAAGAGGCTCAGCTGATTCTGTGTTCTCAGAGGGCATGGCAAGAGGACTAAGCGGCTCAACTGGCTCTTTGTTCTCGACAACCAGTTCCTTTTCCAATCCCGTGAGGTCTCTGGGCCAGAGTTCTATGTCTGGCAAACACCATTCTTCCCCTTCAATCCAATTCTTTCCTGTTTCTGACAGGTGATAACTTGGGGTTCTGCAGCCTTCAGCCCCAGGACTCTCCAGAGATCCTACTGGTGGTTCAACATCTGAGCCACATAGCATGAAGTCCAGAATCTCTTCCAGCTCACTGGTGGCGGCAGCACTTGTAATCCGATACTGCTCAGCTTCACAGGGCTGGCCTAGTAGGGCTGTGTCAAACGTGTAAGGCTCGCTGCAGTCTATGTTCAGCACAGGTTCCTTCCCTATCAGCATTGGGCTGGACCCAAACTCCGACTTCACCACAGGGTGGTCTGGGGAGTGGCTAGCAGAGAACAAAATGTCCTGTAGCCCCGGGCTCTCCGGGGAGTCCTGACACAGCTGTGATCTAGCAGGTATTTCCTGCTCACTGACTGAGGTCAGCAGAGTTACTGAGGGCTCTTCTACATCTGAGGGTCCTGGGACCTGGGGGCTATCTCGGGTGTTTCTGAGGGGAGGCTCCTGCACCACCTCCCAGCAGGTACCATTGACAATCTTCCTCAGCTTTACTCTCCCAACCTGCCCCTCCTCTACAGAGCTGGAGGCGAGGGCTCGGGATTCGGGGCTCTGCTTCTTGCCCCCACCTGTCTTCCTAACATCTGATGGGTCTGGAGTGCTCTCCAGAGAACTGACGTCCCCTGGCTTTTGCTTGTCCGTAGTCTGTGCTGTTCGACTTACATTTCTCTGCCTCCAAAGACGACGGCCAGGAGCTGTGGGCACTGAACTGGGACCACTTAAAACGCCAGAAGGCCTAGATGTACAGACATGGGGTGATGGCTTTGAGCGACTCAGCCTGATCTTGCGGGGCAACAGTTGCTCATCCACAGAAGGGTACAAGGCAGGATGGCAATGCGCTATAGGACCTAGAGCAGGATTACTCTTGTTCTCCTTAGGCCCTTCTCTCTGGCTCGATGGAGATGAGCTTCTTTCTTGAGTCGAGCAAACCCTGGCTTTCTTCTTGAGTAGAAGGGTCTCTGGCAAGCTATCCACAGTTGTTAAGCTGCTCTTTTTGTGAGGCCCCTCTTCTTCCCCTAAGGACTTCAACCTCACTGCTCCAAGAGGACCAGGAGTCTGGGGGGCAGGCAGTGGAGCTCGAGGGCGGCGGCTGGGTGCGACCACCCTGGCAGAGATTGGCGCGGCACTGGGTGGTTGTAAGCACTCCCTGTTTAGTCTTCGGCCCTGGGGAGCCTTTACTAACTTCCCACCCTCTAGCTGAAGGGTTTCCAGCTCGGAGACTCGGAGCTGACGGGCAGCAGAAAGCACATCCTGGGCTTCTTCCTGAGATACTTCCATCTCTGAAGTATACAGGAAATCCACCAGTTTCCTAAGTGTCCTGATCTTTAGGCCTCCCAGTTCCAGTACCACCTTCCGACCCTGAACTGGCCTTTCTCGCTCCAGACGTTCTGTGAAGAAGGGACTACAGGCAGACAGGATACAGCAGTGGGCTGGGACAGCCTCACCTGGGGGGAAAAATACACACTTGTTATACTTTTTTTTTTTGGTCTGTTTTTAGTTCCAATAACTTCCAATAACAAAAATCACTAATTTGAAAATAAAACAAAACAAAAAAACAATGTCATATAATGTAAGGCGATGTGGGATTCCCCTCTGTATGTTATGAATATGTTTTATTGCCATTGGTTAATAAAAAAAAAAAAACTGCTTTCAGCCAATGGTTTAACAAAATATAGCCAGGCTAAAGAAAGATATATAGAGAGAGTAGGCAGAGTCGAAGAGATGCCATGTAGCCACTGCAGGAGACAGACACTGGATGTAACCTTACCCGTAGGCTACAACCACATGGCGATACACAGATTAATAAAAACAAGTTAATTTAAGATATAAGAGCTAGCCAAAGAAAGCATGAGCTAATAGGCCAAGCAGTGTTGTAATAATACAGTTTCTGTGTGGTTATTTCGGGTCTGAGCAGCCTCCAACTACAGTAGATGCTTAGAGCTTTAAAGAGACCATATTCTAGGCCAGGTGGTGGTGGCACACGCCTTTAATCCCAGGACTCGGGAGGCAGAAGCAGGCGGGTCTTTGTGAGTTCGAAGCCAGCCTGGTCTACAAGAGCTAGTTCCAGGACAGGCTCCAAAGCTATAGAGGAACCCTGTCTCAAAAAAAAAAAAAAAAAAAAAAAAGAAAAGAAAAATCAGGAAAACAAGAAAAAAACAAACAAACAAAAATATCCAAGTGAGGTTTAGTGGTGCATGCCTATAACCCTCAAAACTTGGAAGGTAGAAACATCAGTGGTTCACAGTCATCCTCAAGGCCAGTATGAGCTATAGGAGTGAAGTGGGAGGTCCTTCTGTATATGTGTTGCTTTTATTGGTTGATGAATAAAGCTGTTTTGGGCAGTGACTTAGCAGAGTACAACCAAGTGGGAAATCCAAACATATATAAAAGGAGTAGGTGTGAGTCAGGGAGATGCCATGTAGCTGCCAAAGGAACCAGATGAGGGAACCTTACAGGTAGGAGATAGCTTCATAGTGATACACAGATGAAAAGAAATGGGTAAATTTACGATCTAAGAACTAGGTAGGAATACACATGAACTATGACCAAAGAGTGCTATAATAATACAGTTCCTGTGTGGTTATTCGGGTCTGGGTGACCGGAAAATGAATGTGAAGTCTCCATTCACATAGGATAAATTATTTGATTTCTTTTCCTTTTGGTTTTTCAAGACGGGGTTTCTCTGTATAGTCCTGACTTTCCTGGAACTCGCTCTATAGACCAGGCTGGCCTTAAACTCAGAGAGAGATCTGTCTGCCTCTGCTCCCAAGTTCTGGGATTAAAGGCGTGAGCTATCACCACCCAGCAAGAAATCTTCAAAAGACCCAACTAAACAAACAAACAAACAAACAAAAATTCTTAAGTGCTTGACATATCTTAAAGCTTTGCAACTATCCCATTAGGGTGTTATGTGCATTTTATAGATTTTCTATGCCCATAAAGCTTGCAATTTGTTTTTCTTTGTTTATTTTCAGATAGGGCCTGGTTATATAGCCCAGGCTTAGCTCAAATCCATGAGCCATTTGACAACAGTGATTAAAGATATACACTATGATATCAGGCTCTGGTCTCCTTTGTGTGTGTGCATGCATGTCTCTGAAGGGGTCATGTTTTCATGCAACTGTGTGCATGTGGAAGTAAAAGGACAACCTCAAGTGTCGGCCCCACCTTTTGCCTTATTGACATAGGGTCTCTCTGCTGTCCTCCATAAGGCCAGGCTAGCTAGTCTACAAGCTTTCAAGGATTTTCATGCCTCTGCCTGCCACCTAAGCAAAGGAGCACTGACATTGGAGGTGCACAGAGCTGTACTGCCTTTACCTGGGGTCTGAGGATTCAAACTCAGGTCTTCACATTTGCATGTTAAATTCATTACCCATAGAGCAATCTCCCTAACCCCTATAGTTCCTTTAAGACAGGGTTTCTGACTGAACTTGGACCTCACCAATTTGGCTAGACTGGCCAACGAACCCCAGGGGTCCTTCTGTTTCCGAATCCCTAGCATTGGAATTACAGGAAGATATCAAGGCACTCAGCTTTTTATATGGGTGCCGACAAGCCAAACTTAGATTCTCATGCTTGAAAGACAAGCACTTTACCAACTGAGCCATCTCCCTAGCTCCTATTTGTGTGTGTGTGTGTGTGTGTGTGATAGTATATACATATAGGTCAGAGGACACCCTGGGATATCTGTCCTCGCTTTTCACTTCCTTTGATACAGGATCTGTTTGTTTCTACCTGCTCTCTACACCAGACCAGCTGTTTCTGAGATTCCAGGGTTCTGTATTTTGCCTCCCATCTCCTTGTATGGGGGCATTCAAGGCAAAGACAGTTGTACTATGTGCTTGGGTTTTAGGGATTTGAGTTCAGGTCCTCATGCTTGCACACCTAGTACTTTTAGCCAATGAGCCATCTTATTTAATTATTTTTAGGCCAAATATCATGTGATCTAGGCTGGCTTAAAATTCCCTATGAAGTAAAATATGAACTGAACTTCTGATCCTGCTTCTACAGGCATGCACCACTACGCCTGGTGTAATCTATTCTGGGGAATTGAACCTATAGCTTCTTGAAACTATACTAAGGCTCTGTCAACTGAGCTATATGCCCAGCTTTTTTAAAAAAATATTTATTTATTGTTTATATAGTTTTCTGCCTGCACATATGCACCATATCTCATTACAGATAGTTGTAAGCCACCATGTGGTTGCTGGGAATTGAATTCAGGACCTCTGGAAGAGTAAGTAGTCAGCGCTCTTAACCTCTGAGCCATCTCTCCAGCCCCAACTTTTTTTTTTTCATATTTATTTATTATGTATACAATATTCTGTCTGTAGGTCAGAAGAGGGCACCAGACCTCATTACAGATGGTTGTGAGCCACCATGTGGTTGCTAGGAATTGAACTCAGGACCTTTGGATGGCTCTTAACCTCTGAGCCATCTCTCCAGTCCCCCAGCCCCAACTTTTTAAAATTTTATATACTTTTATTTTATTTGTATAAATGTTTTGCTTTCAGTGATGCCTGAGTCTAGAAGAGGGCACTAGCTTTCTTGGAACTGGATAACCACTAAGCTGCCAGGTGGGTGCTAGGAATGAAATCAAGGTTCTCTGCAAAACACAAGTATTTTCAACTGATGAGCCATCTCTCCAGTCAACACCTCCTACCCCAGCTTTGTATTGTTTTTGTTGTTTGGATTTTTTGTTTTGCTTTGTGGTTTTTCTCTGTAAATAGCCCTGGCTGTCCTGGAATTATCTCTAGCCTTGAACTCAGAAATTTTCATGCCTCTGTCTCCTGAGTGTTGGGATTACAGGTATGTGCCACCACTGATAGATTATGTTTGTTTGGTTTTTGTTTTGAGACAAGGTCTCAAAAGATGGCTTATCGTGGAAAAGTGCTAGCAGCTGACCATGCTTACAGATTTGAGTTCAGCCCTTAAACCCAGAGGATAAAAGGAGAAAACTGACCTTCACCTAGGGACTGCAGCACACCTCCCAGCTCACAAAATAAACGTGTATATGTGTTTGACTGAGCCTAAGTACACATAGGAGTAGCATGCATGAGTATGACTTACTCTGTTGCCTGAGCTCTCCTTGAATTGGTGATCCTTTAACTTCCTAATTTTACATTTTAAATTCAGATTTATGTATATGAATATTTTGTTCATATGTATCTATATGCACCATGTGTGTCTGTTGCTGACAGGGCATTGGATCCCAAGTTATGACTGGTTGTAAGCTGGTACAAATATCAGCAAATGTTCTTAGCTAATGAGTTCTCTCTCTCTCCCCATTCTAGTTTAATTGTAGGAGGAAAAAGCATAGTAACAGTTTAACTCTGTTTAAAATTTTCCTTATTATTTTACATGCTTTACATGCATGTATATATCTGTGCACAACATGTGTGAGTTACAGACAGTGATAAACTGAAATGTGGGTGCTGGGAACTGACCCATGGTCCTCTGGAAGAGCAGTCAGTGCTCATAGCCATAGCTAGCTTTCCAGTCCCCAACAATTTTCCTTCTAAAAAGAGTTTTAGAGGGACTGGGGATAGAGCTCATTGGGTAGAATGACTGCCTAGCATGCAAAAAAAAAAAAAAAAAAAAAAAAACCCACCCAGGATTGATCCTCAGCTCTACATCATGTTAGGACAGTGATACACTTAGAAGGCAGGAAAATTAGAAGTCCCAGGCCCTTTTCAGCTACATAGAGTTGAGGAAAGCCTAGGCTGAATGAGTCCCTGCCTCAAAAAACAAAACCAAGACTTACCCTAAGCCAGGTGTGGTGGTGAAAGAAAGCCTTTAATCCCTGCCCTGGGGAGGCAGAGGCAACTCCTAGATCCCTGTGAGTTCCAGGCAGCCTGGTCTACATAGTGAGTTCTACAGAGTGACACAGTGAGACCCCACCTTAACAAAATACCACTACCAACATCTCCTCCCAACACTGATTATCCTGGAAACAAAACAACTTTCCACCAAAGAGTTTACAATATTTATAGGCAAGAACATTCTCCTGGTTTCATTATTTACCTCTGTTCTTGGACTCATTTTACCTTGTTCTACAGTGATTTTTCACTTGAACCTAATTTATTTTCTTACCCTCTGCCTGCAGAAGGGCATCACAAAACACACCACTCTGCTGCTGGTGCCGAAGCTGCAGAAAAGCTACCCGGAGGAACCGGGGATTCCTGTAGAGGATTTTGGAACTGGCAGGAGAACACATGTTGTATCTGGTTAATAAATCTTCTAGGTTTTCACGGCTCAGATTCCTGTGGGTGAGATAATATATTTCAGAGGTATAATTAAACCTAATTTATTTTTTGTCTTTGAAATGGTGGAGAAATTTGAGAGACAACAAGTTGAAGAAACATCAGCTGAGAAGTTATGCTAAAGATAATCTCAAGAAAGACTATTACAATAGTGGTTTCAGGCAGAAGCTGCGAGATAAGTCTACATTTGAAACTTGGCTCTGCTCTTAACTAGCCTAGCTGTATAACATCACACAGGTGACCTAACTTCTCAGAGACTCCCTTTTCTTATGCACGAAACAGAAGTAACAGTACTTATCCTGTAACAATCCAGACATGGTGGAGCATGTCTGTGTTCCAGTTCTTGAATGGCAGAGTGTGCGATCAGGAATTGAAGGACATCCATCCTCCCATATATAACTAGTTCAAGGCCAGCCTAGGCTCCGTGAGACCCTGTCTCAAACACAACAAATGTGGGCAATGGTGGTACGTGTGTGTCTGTAACTCAAACAACTGAGTGGAAAAGGTGGGAGGAAAGAGTTTGAGGCCAGCCTGGACTGCACAGAAAGACTTGGACTCAAAATAAAATTCAATACTTCAGCCTTTCTCATTTGTTCCTATAGTGTCAACTATTCACATCATTCCTGGGCACTGTGTCTCAGCACACTTTCAATTTCACACTTGGAAAGACAGTACTGCTGGCTATAAAACTGACTCTGGGAAGCCATGTGCACCTTTCTTTAAACTCACTTCTCACACTAACCAGCAGAGGGTGCACAATCAAGACAAGACAGGATTTGGAAGGCCTTGCATACTTATAAGGTCACTGTAGAAGCCAGGCAGTTGTGGAGCACGCCTTTAATCCCAGCACCTGGTAGGCAGAGACAGGCGAATCTCTTGTGAGTTCGAGGCCAGCCTGGTCTATAAGAACTAGTTCCAGGACAGACACCAAAGCTACAGAGAAACCTTGTCTTGAAAAAAAACGAACCAACAACAACAACAAAAAACACTGTTGATTGATCAAAGTGAACTAGAATGATCTCGTCAGTTTGCAAATATATGGGCTTCGTTAGTTTGGTTAATTGCCTGATTAACATCAGAGCAAACAGGGGTATGCACTTGACCCTCCTTTCCCACCCAAAGAAAATGGATATTCTGACTTAAATTTCTAGATATGCATTTGTGTGTGTGTGTTTGTGTGTGTGTCCCTGCCCACCAGGCCCACTCCCCAGCACCACTTACTGCACGGCTGTGTGTCCTTTTTCTGGTATGATTATGGAATTTTCTCTCAGGTAGCACTGAAGAGTCCAAATAGTTCACGTCAAAACTATCAGGAAAGAAAACAGCGAGTAGGAAAATTAAGAAAGAGAAGCATCAGCTGAGCTCGGTGATCCCAGGTCTGTAATCCCAGCTATTATTCAGGAGGCCAAGCAGGAGTATTATATGCTTCAGACCAGCATTGGCAATTTAGTGAACTCAGTTCTCAAAACAGAATTTTTAAAACGTGAGGCCTTATACCAAGAAGGGATTGGGGGCACAGGGGAGGGGGGCGCGACACTAATTCTCACCCCAGCCAGAGGAAATGTGGATGAACAAGGAAGCTTTCCAAAGTACCAATACCTACCCTTGTCCTCAGACCCAACCTGGAACGGTTCTGCAGTAAATTCGGTCCTGCTGTCCTGTGTTTCCTCTACTCCAGTTGTTTCTAGCCGTGAGGTTGCGCAAAGCAGCCCAGGTGGGCTCACCGTCTCAGCGCTGGTGCTCGCAATCCCGAAACCAAGGAGTGAGGGTTAGGCGGAGGCAACCGTGTCACAGAAGGCCCTGCAAAGCAGATGGCCTCGCACGCCTCAGCCCCGGGGGCCCAACTCCTCTGAAGAGGGATCTCGGGCGCGAGGGTTTCTGGGAATGGAGCATGGAGCCAGTGCAGGCCCGAGGTCAGGGCTGCCCCCCAGGGCCACCGTGGGCTCGGCCCACACGGGTCCTGCAGTCTCCCCGGGTCGCCAGCAGCCACATGCACCGGGCAGTGATGACGGACGAAGGCCTGAGGCCACGCGGCCTGGGCTACACACCGCGCGCTGCCATCCTCGCGCTCTGGTCGGCCAGGCGTCGAGGGCTCCGACGACTTCCTTCCTCCGCCCGGCGCTCCCGACGTGCGCGAAGACGTCATCCCCATTGGACGGCGGCTCCCGGGAGAGCCAATCAGAGGGCGAGAAACACTTTGGCGGGAGCGGAGGCCCGGGGAAGATGGCTGGGCTGCGCACGCGAGAGAGGTAGGGGGTACGGGCGGTGCAGGAGGGCTCCCTCTGGAAGCTGACTCGGCCTGCAGCACAGCGAGACCCCGGCCACGATTTCCAGCTCAATAAGGCGGGCTCCAGGAACGTTGAGGTCCAGTTCTTTGGTCTCCTTGAAAGGCGACAAATAACTTTGGCCCTGCCTACATCGGTCTAGGCCTCATTTGTGTGGGGGGGAGGAAACACGGTATGTGTTTCTGCTTGCAATGTGGCCAATCAAGATAGATATTTTCTAAGACTAGAAAGGTTCGGGGGTGGAGGAGGGACAAAAGATCACCGGACTGGTTTATGACATCCCACCCCCACCCTGGAGGATGTCATTCCAACCCTGAATCTCATAGAACTGGTGACCCAAGGGAGTTGTGGGAACACCTGCTTGAAGTGAGTTCCTGCAGCCATTTGTTTTTGTCTTGTTTTGTTTTTCGAGAAAGGGTTTCGCTGTAGCTTTGGAGACTGTTCTGGAACTTTTTCTGGAATTTGCTCGGTCGACCAGGATGGCCTTGAAGTCACAGAGATCTGCCACTGCCACTGCCACTTCCTTGGAAGTGCTGTGATTAAAGGCGCGTGCCACCACCACCCGGCTGAGTTCCTGCAGCTTTTTACAGACAATTTATTTAACTCAGTTTCTAACTGGAAGTAGCTGTTTTTGCGGGTGGTATTAAAAAGAATGATTTCAAGCTAAAACAAAAAATTAGAGAGAATGAGACCAGGAATGGTGCCACATGACTTTAATCCTTGCTCTCGGAAGGCAGAGGTAGTTGATCTTTGTAAGTTCCAGGCCAGCCTGGAACTTAGTCTACATAGTGGGTCCAGGACAGCAGAAGCTATATAGAGAGTCCCCGTCTCAAAACACCAAATCAAGCAAACAAAGCACAACAACAAAACCCCACAACAGCAACAAGAAAAAACTCATCAGAGAGAGAGAGAGTAAGAGAGAGAGAGAGAGAGTAAGAGAGAGAGAGAGAGAGAATGTCAATTCATACTATAAATCTGTAAAGCTCTTCTTTACCAGTGTGCATTCGGACCATGATCTAGTTTGGATGGCTGACCCTGACCCTCAGTAGATACCTGATGATGTCTCGCTCTAGGTAAAAATGACCCAATGCAAAGTTACCTATTATAAAATGTGGTTAAGGAAATGTAATAGTCAAGAGGATGCAGTAAAAGAAGAACCTGCAGAAACAAAACATTTATGGGTAAGACAGTGTGTTCAAATGTATCTTTAATGAGATTTACCACATTTTCCCAAAGGATCTGGGGGCTTTGTGTGTAACTTAATAGTAGAATTCTTTACTAGTATGTAGGAGGCCCTGGGTTCTATTCCTAGCACTGTTTTCTTTTTAAATTTCTTTCTTCCTTTTTTTTTTGTTTGTTTTTCAAGACAGGGTTTCTCTAGCTTTGGAGCCTATCCTGGAACTAGCTCTTGTAGACCAGGCTGGCCGCGAACTCCAGAGATCCGCCTGCCTCTGCCTCCTGAATGCTGGGATTAAAGGCGTGCGCCACCACCGCCATCTTTATTTTTTACATTTTATGTATGAGTATTCCGCATGTATACCTGCATATCAAAAGAGGGCATGGGGTCCTATTATAGACAGTTGTGAGCTGTTTTGTGGCTGTTGGGAATTGAACTTAAGACCTCTGGAAGAGCATTTCTCTGAGACAACTCTCCAGTCCTCCAGGAGAAAGGAGGCAGAGTGGGAGAGAAGCCATGTAGCCCCACCGGAGCCAGACAAAACTTTATCCGGTAAGCCACAGCTACATGGTGATACACAAATTAATGGAGATGGGTTAAATTCATATGTATGAGTTAGCCAATAAGAAGCTAGAGCTAATGGGCCAACCAGTGATTTGATTTAATTAATACAGTTTCTGTGTGATAATTTCGGTTTTGGATGACTGGGACGAACGAGAGGCCTCTTCCAACAAATTGGCGCCCAACGTGGTGTGCCAAATCCACGCAAAACCTGAGAGGGCTTGTAAAGAAATTCTAAACACTTTTAATCATATCACTCGGGAGGCAGAGGCAGGCGGATCTCTGAGTTAGAGGCCAGCCTGGTTTACATCAGCTAGTTCCAGGGCAGGCTCCAAAGCTACGGAAACACTCTTTCTTGAAAAAAAAAAAACAAAAGAAAGAGGATGAAAATAGAAAGAAGAAGCAGGACATTTTCAGTTGCAGTTGTCACATCCTAATGGGGAAGCAGTTTGTGAAGATGCACACCATAGCTGAAAGAGAGTCCAGATACTGGCTGCAGCAGCAGATGCAGGCAAGGATGGGAACAGAATAAAACTTGTGTATACTGCCTCTGACTATAGAATTAAGATTTGATTGAGCAGGTACAATACTCTTGTGGGTTATTCTGTGGAAGTATAAGGAAAATGTGTTATCCACTTATTAATGCATTTTTATCAAGGTTAAATTAATTTTAATAAATAGAGATGACTTCTTGGTTGGTTTTTTTAATCAAGTACCTTTTTTGGTAGTAAAATTTGTTATCCTTGCTCTCTCTCTTTTCTCTTTTTTTGTTTGTTTTGTGTTTTCTGAGACAGGATTTCTCTGTATAACATTCCTGGCTGTCCTGGAACCTGATACTTAAAGTAGGTTGGGCTCGAACTCACAGAGATCCACCTGCCTCTGCCTCTGCTGCCCTAGTGCTGGGATTAAAGGCAGGCACCACCACACCCAGCTTGTGGTAGTAAAATTTGTAAAGGGA